TGTGTTTGTGTGTGTGTGTGTGTGTGTGTGTGTGTGTGTGTGTGTGTTTGTGTGTGTGTGTGTGTGTTTGTCACTGTCAGGGAAGTGAACCTAAGGTTGAATATTTGATAGGCATCCATATTCTCCAAAGGCTTATCACTAACATATGAGACTGACTGAACCTAGAATGAGCTGGAGGATAGACAATTCTTCTGAATGGTTTCAATTAAATTACTGACAGTGCTCCAACCCAAAACTGAGTTGACTCGATCGAGAGACTCTGTGCTATTTTGTCAGCTTTAAGGGGTTTGTGTACAGACATGTACTGCTGTGTGAGTACCAGAAATAAGCTAGTGTTTGGATCTGGGACCAGACTGACAGTGCTTCCCAGCAAGTCATGTCTAATTCTAAATCTAATTCTAATTCTAAATCTAAATATAAATCTAAATCTAATTCTGATTCTAATTCTAAGTCATTCTAATTCATTGGTACGAGGCTCACTAGGTGCTGTAGGATTTTCTTCTGAGGAAAGGCAGGTAAGCAGGTTGGGAACTCTTCTAACTGGAGTTTGGGAAAACGAGAGACGATCTCATTGAAATATACCTGGGTTGACCAGGTAAATGCTGAGAGGATGTTTCCCCTCATGGGACAGACTAGGACCAGAGGATCACAGTGTCAGAATAAAAACAGGCCAATTTCAAGCTGAGACGAGGAGGCATTTCTTTTCTCAGAGGGCTGTGCATCTTTGCAAATCCTTGCCACAGAGAGCTGTGGAGGCAGAGTCCCTGTGTATGTCTAAGGCTGAGAGATACAGAACCTCGATCAGCCAGGGAAGGGAGGGTTACGGGGGAAAATGCAGGGAAGTGGACATGAGGGATGCAGGATTAGCCCTGATCCAATTGAATCCTTTCACCCAGAGAGTGGTCAGAACATGGAGCTCACAGCCTCAAAGAGATTCCACTTTGTTTGATTGTGTCCTCAGTTCAAAAATAATGCGAAAGGAAATTACTTTACAGTTGATCCACATCCAGGTTAATTGGCACAGTCACAAGGTGTCTGTTTTGTGCTTACAAAGTCGTTTCTGCCAACAAAGTTACCCGTTGCCCGATCAACATTGTCTTAAAAACATCGCCCGGAAACTCCGACGCTTTTGACAGCCACTGGGAAAATCTGGCTGAGAATCCTGAAGCATTCCTGCCAAAACAGCCTTTGCGTAGTTCTCAGGGAGGAGAGAGAAGGCTGTACAGAAAGCATGATCATTGTAAAGTTCAGGACACAGCACACTCCAATCTCATTGTCAGTCAGTGCAGATTCTGTTAGAGCTGCTCTGAGGGGAGTTTTTGCTGAAGGGGTGACCACTGTGTGAATACTGGTGGCTACAGGCTTACATTTGGAAGTGGGACAAGGCTAACCGTGGAGCCAGGTGGGTATTCATTACTAATTGCAGGTAGATCCTCACTTTGCAAAATCCTCTGTCCTTGGCAAGGACTGGGAGTAAATGTGTGTGTGTGTGTGTGTGTCCGTGTGAGAGTGTGTCTGTCTGTCTGTCTGTCTCTCTGTGTGCCTGTTTGTGTGTGTGTGTATATCTGCCTGTCTGTCTGTGTCTGTGTCTGTGTGTGTGTGTGCCTGCCTGTGTCTGTGTGCCTGTACCTGTATGTCTGTGTGGCAGTGAGCTATCAGACTCCTTGACTCCCAAATACACCCCAGATATGTAAATTCCAGTGAGTAATCCAGAAGGCGCTGGGAGATACATGGAAGGGGACTGGGGAAAACTTCTCATGGGGCTGCTGTGGAAACAGTCACCCTACTGTCAATTTTTCAACATTAGTCTCATGTGAAAAACAGCTCACAATAAAAAGATAGCTCCTAATTTTTATTGATTATTTGAGCTAAGTTATAAATATGGTTTTACTATCAACATGGGAGGAACAGTGCAGACAAAGTTAATCACAAATCAGAGCAGAATGATATTGAAGCTGCTCTATAGGAAGGAAGGTTTTTGCTGAAGGGGTCAGCACTATGTGAATACTGGAAACAACTACAGGGTTATACTTGGAAGTGGGACCAAGCTGACAGTGGAACCAAGTATGTATTCAGTAATAACCACACACTGTGCGTTTGCAAGGTGTGTTAGATGTGGCCTGGGGAAGGGCTTGGGATTATTTCATCACCCGATGAATGGATAGAGAGAGAGGGAGAATGTGTGTGTGAGTGAGTGTGTGTGTGTGTGTGTGTGTGTGTGTGTGTGTGTGTGTCTGTGTGTGTCTGTGTGTCTCTGTGTGTGTCTGTGTGTGTGAGTGCGTGTGTGAGGGGGCAGAGGATACTGTGCGTGTGTGTGTGTGAGAGTGTGTGTGTGTGTGTTTGTATGTGTGTGTGTATGTGTATGGTGTGTGTGTGTTTGTATGTGCGTGTGTCCATGTGTGTGTGTGTCTGTGTGTGTGTGTGTGAGAGAGAGAGAGAGTGCGTGTGTGGGGGGTTGGGGGGGTGCAGTGTGTGTGTGTGTGTGTGTGCGTGTGTGTGTGTGTGAGTGCGTGTGTGAGCGGTCGGGGGATGCACTGTGTGTTTGTATGTGTGTGTGTATGTGTGTGTGTGTGTGAGTGGTCGGGGGATGCTGTGTGTGTGTGTGTGTGTGTGTGTGTGTGTGCACGTGTGTGTCTGTCTGTCTGTCTCTCTGTCTGTCTGTGTGAGTTGACAGTTGGACTCCCCAACTCTCAAATACACCGGATACATAAATCCCAGAGAATAATGCAGGAGGCACTGAGAGACGCAATGCGGGTGACTGGGGAAATCCTCTGATGGGGTTCCTGTAGAAATTGCCAACCCACAGTTTCTAAGGAAAAATGTTTTGGGTCACCAACAAGTCCTATTGAAAATCCGCACCTAATAATTCTCACATTAATTGGAACCGTGTTCCTTGCACAGAGAGCTCGATGGTTGTATAACTCAGAGACA